AGCATTTGCAGGTGAGGAGACGGGCTTGAGACCCTGAGTTACACGGTGGGCGGAGGTGTCCATAAAGATGCGTTACATTTGTTTGTTTATGCTGCATCTGTTTAGTTATGCAATTATGTAAAGCTGGTGTTGCTGTTTTACCTTGTCTGCCAAAGGCACCTGATTGGTCTAATAAAAAGCTGAACTGCCAATAGCCAGGCAGTAGAGGGAGAGGCAGGGCTGGCAGACAGAATAAGTAGGAGGAGGAATCTAGGCTGGAGAAGAGAGCGAAAGAGAGGGAGACACAGGGTCAGCCAGACAGACACAGAGGAAGCAGGAAAGGAGGACATATACAATGAAAGAAAGGTAAAAAGCCTCAAGGCAAAACAGATGATGAGAAAAAGCTTAATATAAGTTATAAGAGCTAGCATAAGATAAGGTCAAGCATTCATAATTGATAAGAAGTCTCCATGTCTTGATTTGGTTGCTGATTGCTGGTACAAGAAAGCCTGCTATAGGGAGGTAAGAGTCAGTAGGGCCTAGATTGAGCTGGGGACACTGTTGAATCTCTGAGGACTAAACAAGGTAGGTGAGCAGGGCACGGTGGTCCAAAGCCGTAATTCTAGCTCTCAAAGGCTGAGGTGGGAGGACTGAGTGGGTAATGACAACTTAAGTTGCAAGTGAGTTCCAGGCTAACTTAGAACTAAAGTGGAGACCTAGGAGGCCCAGTCTTTAAAAAGAGGGTTAAGGCCCAGGTGGTGGTGGTGCACGCCTTTAATCTCAGCACTTGGGAGGCAGAGGCAAGTGGATCTCTTGAGTTTGAGTCCAGACTGGTCTGTAGAGCAAGTTCTAGGACAGCCAAGGCTACAGAGAAACCCTGTCTCAAAAAACAAAAACCAACCAACCAACAAACAAAAAGGGTTAGGGAGTGGAGAGATGATCCATGTGCTGGTCAGTTTTTATCAACTTGACACGGAGTCACTTGGGAAGTAGGAACCTTACTTGAAGAATGGCCTCCATCAGATCAGCCTGTGGATGTAGCTGTGTGGGCATTTTCTTGATTAATGATTGATGTGGAAGGGCCCTGCCCATTGTGGGCTATGCCAACTCCTGGACAGGCAGTCCTGAGTTATACTTATAGGCAAACTCCTGACTTCTGCTTAATTTTCTCCCTCCAAATTCTTTATAGCCTGACTTCATTCGATGGTGTGTTATGACCTGAGAGATGAAATAAACCCTTTCCTTCTCCAAGTTGCTTTTGGTCAATGTTTTATTACAACAACAGAAAAAAACCTAGGACAACCTGAGTTCAATTCCCAGTACCCACATCAAGTGGCTTACAGTCATTCTGTAATCTAACTCCAGGGGATCTGATACCACCTTTGACCTCAAGGACACTGCCACTCTGCAGACAAATTACATGCACATGCACACATATTAAAAATAAATATTCTAAAAGGAGCTGTGGACAGGGGGTGACCTGGCGTGACCTCGAGACTCAGGCAGGCTGAAGACACAGGCCCCCATTCCCTCCACAAGGGACCACTGGTGAAGGGAGCCGAGCAGAGCCAAGCAAAGCTCAGCGTAGCCCAGTAAGTGCAGTGATGTTATCAAGTGCGGTCTGTGGCAGCCTGAGCACCGCTGGCTGAAACAGGATTTGCCTGGACCAATGCTTTACCTAGCCATCTACCATGGCCGGCACCTACCAACTACACCTTACAAACTACCACAAAAAGCATAACATCCAGGAAGCAGAAGCTGGTGAGTACTGGGCCAAAGCTAGACAAGGCCCCCCTGAAGGCCTTGGGTCCTCAAGCCTGTGGGGACTGGCATAACAGGCAGAGCTGCTGGTCCATACCTTGTGCAAGGGCAAGACAGGTAGAGATGCACCAGCATCCCCATTACTTGTGGGCCTGGAACCCACGGTTCCCATAAGGGTTGTGGCTTAGGTCCCAATTCCAAGTTCAAGGTGCCACGCTAGGCACCGCTATCCCTGTGTGATTTTGCTTTGGTGAAAATAGTACTCCTCAGAGGAACCTTGAGGCTCCCCCAGAAACAGGCTGAGTGAGAACCCCCTGTTACTCTAGGCACTTCCGGGTGATGTCTGTGGGAGGCCTGGCCAGCTGCTGCCCAGGGGTGCAGAGCAGCTATGCAAGTGGCCAGGTCACAACTACCTGTCGGCCCACCCACCTTCCTGGTTCCCCATGGGCTTCCCTAAAATTGAGACGGATGAGGCCCTGCACAGCACAATCTAGCCATCCCCTCGGGGGCAATATGTGGTGAGCAGAAGCAGGCTCTGCTGTGGGTGGGGCCTTTGTACTTGCCCGTTAAGCCTTTTCCCCATCTTTCTTGGTCAGTTCATCTCTTTCCTGGTCAGGTGTTATTCCAAGGACTCTTGGATGACCTTCCTGACATCTTCCAGTGCCACCACCACCAGCCACTGCTAATTTTCCTCTAAGCCCTGCCCCTTTTTGGAGTGCCATTCCTTTATATGTATGTGGTACTGAGAACAGAGCCCAGAACCTTCTTCCTTTCAATTCTGCATCCTTGGGGGTTAGAAGAGCATTTGAAATGTGTGAAATGTGTTCATTATTCCTCACTATATAGCCCAGGCTGACCTTGAACTCTCAGTCTTCCCAGACTCCACCATAGTGTTTGTCATCTGGACCTCCAAACATCCTTCACTGTGCAGAGATTAGGTACCTACTGCATACCATGGTTCTGTGCTAAGTGGACACTCCAACGAAGAGGCACGGCTGTCCATTCCATGACCAACTCCTAAGGTCAAAGAGAGCTCACAGGATGAGGGAAAGCCCAGGAATGCATTTTCACAGGTTTTCTCCCTCTTCTTTCCCTCCCCAACTCAACTGCTGGGTGGAGGTGAACTCAGGAAGTACAGAAGCAGAGGCAGGTGGGTTTCTAGTTCGAGACCACCCTCATCTACAGAGTTCCAGGCAGCTAGAGCTACACACAGGAAACCCTGTCTCTAAAAAAACAAAGGGAAAGAAAAGAACGAAGGAAGGAAGGAAGGAAACTCATTTTACTGAGAACAGGACAGTCATACTGTCCAAGGCCTGGCTGCCACTTTGGAGCTTCCTGCACCTGAGCCTTTTCTTCCACCTCAGGAAAACAAAAGAGCACAGATGCCAGCTGTATTGGCTTTTAGGCTGGCCTCACACCTGTGTGTATGTGTGCGTGTGTGCGTGTGTGTGTGTGTGTGTGTGCGCGCGCGCGCGCGCCATCAGCCCTGCTCCTTTCCCCATTTACCAGCCCCACACTCCACCTGGCCCCCTGCTTGCTCCCTCCTCTCTTTTCATTCTTCTGCACTGACGTAAGCACTGCTGAATCATGAGGCTGAGGTTTGAGGGCCAGATAGAGAACCTGCACCCCAGGGAAGCCACAGCGCGACAGACACACAGACACTGGAGTGCAGCTCCCAGGGGCTTTTAGGTCACCTTCCGTATGTCAAGATGGATTTTTTTTTTTTTTCAAATGACTCATAAAGGGAAGAAGGGGCCAGCTCTGGGGAGTGTGAGGGATGGCAGTCTTTATTCCTAGCCGTTCTGCCTCAGGCTTTCACAAAGCAATGGGTCTGTGATTTAGACTTCTGTGATGAACACAGAACTTGTCAACGTTTTTCAGACCAGGAAATCCCCCTGGCATGCAGTAAAATTACCTGCCTTCAACCTATGCTTGAAGGAGGGCCTGGTCCCTGCCTGTAAAATCGGGATGCCAACAGTACCACAGTACCAATCAAAAGGCCCAGGTGAAGGCCAACTGGTCCTTGCCAGTGTGGGAGCTCCTCTTTGCCTGCTGGCCTATTTCCCCGGAGTAGGAGCTTGACTCCCAGGCCGGGCTGAGTATTAAGCAGGGCATTCGCAGCTACCACCCCCCACACCTCTATCTAGGGGGTCTGCAAGATGTCACTAGCGTTGCCACCCGGTCTCTGCCCTGCAAGGGTAGGACCTCCATAACTCAGACAGCAGCATTGGGGCTAAAAAGAAGAAACAGAGGACAAACCAAATATGGCCTCCATCCTCCCACCCCACCTCCCTGAAGGACTGGCCACCCTGTCCTGGAGGACGTTGGCCCTTTAAAACCACAGAGCAAGCCTGGGCCAGTGTGCCCCAGAGAAGCTGATTCCTCTCACTGAACACTAGGAAAGCCACTAGAAGCACGTCTCAGGCTGCAGGAGTCATGACAACTCCCGAAAATGAAGTGGGACATGCTTAGCCCCAAACTCAGCTGTGATTCAGTACCCACCAGTTCCTATCCAGACCACCTGTCTCAAAGCCAGGGGTCCTGGGTCCTTTCTGGTGCCCCACAAGTGTCCTGAAACAGCCCTTCCACCTGGACGCCTGCCACCAGTGTCTCACAGAGCTGGGCCTTTCAGAGAGGCAAAGGGAATTGCCCCAGCCACCAGCAGCACCAGGGCCCCTGCCACCACAGACCGCAAAGCAGCTTTCTGGCTCCAAAAAAGTACACAAGGCAGAGCAGGGTGGGAAGCAACAGCCAAGCCAGCTCGGCTCATCATCCCCTCTGACTGCAGAACTCGCCACTCCTTCCAAAAACTCGGTGAGCCCTGGCCGCTCTGCCCCACCCTCTTCCTGGAAGTAGTTGTGGTCAGAGGAGCAAAGAAGTTTCCTCTCTGTCATCCTTTTCAAATGATGCTGGGTGGGCAGCCAAAAGGGCCCACCTCCACCAGGAGAGGTCTGGCACAATGACCTGTCGCTCGGCTTTCTCTGTAAACTGGGAACAAGGCAATACTAAGTGTCAGGGGCTGTTGGATTCGCTCAAGCAGGGGTGGCAGAGACCAGGCACGGATAACCAGGAGAGCTCAGGCTGGAGCCGCCATCTTTCCAAACACAAACCAAAAGTAGCCTGGCAGTTTGGTCCCCAGTGCTGTGGGTGGAGCTGTGTCCGCTGCCCAAATCCCCAACCACTTCAAGAAAGTGAATCTGCATACCCCTGTCCCCAACCCAGGACGTTTGGCCAAAACATACGCTCCAGAAATCTTTTTTCTTTAAAAAAAAACTTTCATAATAAAGTTTATTACCTAAACTGGCTGTAAAAATATAAAATAGGGTATTCTGCACAGCAGAAAAATGAAGCCAGAGACCCTCCCCCACCCCTGGTTTGTGCAAAGATACTGGGAATATGTAAACATGGAGAGGTAGGAGTGGAGTTCAGGTCCTGGCCCCAGACACAAGCTGCTACAACCAGGGGACCCGGAGGGAGCACCAGGAGGGGAAGCCCCCCGAGAGGCGGGATGGGGTCTCCGGCCAGAAGCCAGAGGCACCTCGCCCTCCACACCCACTCCCTCCGACCCAGGCGGGGAGGGCTCCCACGTGGTTCCAGGAAAATAATAATAATTAATAATAAGAAATAATAAGGCGTTCCCACTTAATGCTGCGGGCACGGCAGCGGCCGGTCAGATCTGGAAGGGGAAGGAACTCAGGTAGTCGCGGAGTACCGGGTTAAGAGGGATGCGCGCCAGGTTCTCGCGGCCCACGGCGGCCACGATGCGCTGGCGACACAGCTCCTGCAGCGGCCGCACGCGACGCTGGCGCAACGGGGCCCCCAACATGCGGCCCGGCGCCGCCACGTAGTGCTCCAGCAGCTCGAAGAGGCAGTCGAAGGTCTCGCGGCTGCCGTCCAGGTGGAAGCGACCGGCCTGGAAGTGCACGCGGATGCTCATGGGGCCAGAAGCCATCTTCACGCTGAGCGCGAAGAAGCAGTTCCGTTGGCGACTGTCGCGCACCAGGAAGGTGCCCACGGGCTCTGCACGCAGCCGTTCGTGCGCCCCGTGCACACTCAGGGGTCCCCAATAGAAGCCACAAGCGTCCAGGAGCGCGCTGGTCCGCGTAATTCGTCTGTAATCGGAGTGGGAGCGGAACGTGCGAAAGTGAGTGTCGCCAGGGGCCGGGGCCGGGACCGCAGGGCAGGGCCGCGGACGTGCGGGGGCAGCCGGCGAGGATGAAGATGAGGATGAGGACTCTGGCCGCCGTCGGGACTCTGCTGCCGGGGAGATCGCATTGTCTGCTGCCACCTGGTTACGTGCCACCATCCTACACGAGGGGCCAGCCGGAGGGGTGGGCCATAGCGTCCGGGGCTGCGCTGATGGGGGGAGACAGAGGCAGTGAGCCGGGCGTCCGGATGGCGCTGGCCGGCCAGCGGACCCCAAGGACCGAGGGCGGAGCGCAGAATCCGCCCGGAGGCTGTGAGCCTCGGTGGGCTCATCTGCGAAGTAGGCCGTTCTCGTACGTGGAACACTTCCAGGCTGGCGGTGGAGCCCGGCCTCCCCGCGCGCGTGGAGAAGGGGGCGTGGAGAGGGGCCCGACTACCGGCCGTCCCCGCTGGTGGCTCGCCGCCCAGCGGCTGCCGCCTGCTGGCCACGCCAGGGACTGGAACCCGGGCGGGCGATCTGGGCTCAGGGCCGAAGAGGCGGCGCTGACAGCACCCCGCGCGCGCGGGGGTCCGCCTGGACGAGCCAGTGGGGCGGGCGGGCGCCAGAGACGAGGCATCTACGACCCCACCACGCAGTCTACGAGGCCAGTCTTGCGAGGCTCTGTTCCCCTTCCTCCCATCCCCGCCCGCCTCCTCCTCCGCCGCTGCCCCGGCTCACCTGGCGGCGGGACGCGGGGCGCCGCGGCTGAGGGATCCGGGGCGGCTGTCGCGCATGCTCCGGGGCCTGGAGCCCTGCAGCTGCCACGGCCGCAGCTCGCTCTGCTGCTGCCCGCCCCAGCATCAGGCTCTTAAACTAGGGAGGCCCCACCCACAGGTCCCACCCACCGCCGCTTTCGGTTTCTCTTTCCAGCGAGTCCTCTCTCTTCTCTGGCGGCTCTCCCTGTAGTCTGTTCCCTAGCTGGGTCTTGCCTCGCACCTGCCCTGATTGGGGACCTCTGCGTCCTGCGGTTCTGGCTCCGCCCCGAATCTTCTGATCTGTGTCTGGAATAGCCACCTTAAGACCTGGTGCCCGCTCTTTTGCTCTGGCCACCTTCGCCCCCACATCCCTGCAGCTGGCCGGGTGGGATGCTCTTGCGGCGTTAACACGCCTCCTCTCCTCCCGGTGTCTGCAACCTTCTGGTCTGGGCTTCGCCTCGTCTGGAGCCTGCGCCCCCCTAAGAAGCTCCTCCCTTCCAGGGTCCTTACCGCCCAGGACCCGAAAGCCTTGGCAATTTCGGCCTGTCTTGGAGCCCGGGAGCCAGTCCTGGAGCCCGGCGGGGCCACCGCCCTCCCCTGGAGCCTCGGAGCCCGACTCGCAGGCCCCTCCCGTCGGCCACCCAGCCTGGCCTTGGCTTGGGCTTCCCAGGAAGCGGTGGCCTGACCGCAGAGGCTTCAAAGGAAGCCTAAGGCGGTGCGGGAGGGGCGCCCCCGCTCCCGGCCGAGTTCCTCGGAAACCGGGTGGGGTTGGGCTGGGTCCCCAGCGGCCTGGACTCACACTCCCTGCACTCCCATTACTTGGGCAGCTGAAGAAACTGAGGCCCGGGTCGGGGCTGTGATTAACAATGGCTGGGCACCTCCATACGAACCCAGTAGGGGAAAAAATAAGGCTTTTTCAGCTGTAACCCCAAAACTCTGCCTCCCCACCCTCTCGCCTCAACCTTACAGAACGCTCTTAGGACGCTAGCAAGCATGCCTGCACAAGGGCTCCCGTGCTCCGTGTACACCTTGGGATCGAGGCGGTCAGACCTATCATTAGGACACTGTATGGTTTCGTGATTCGGTTCGGTTTGTCCAGGAAGGCCATGAGTAGGTGCCTGGCTGGTGGTGATGTTTATGAATGAAGGCGGATGAAGAGGTTCGCGTGCAAACTTCTCTGTGTCGTACACTGCCCTCTACAGGCTTCTCTCGGATATCTGCTAATCTGCTGGTCGCCGCTCTGGGGCCAGGTCTTCTGGGTCTCCCTTCCTCAGTTTCCCCAGGTTGAGCCCAGAGCACCACATTTCATCCTAAGCATAGCTAAGTGTCCTTGTCTTGAGCTCCTTGAAGCTGTGTGACTGGGGCTGGTAGTGTCACTGGTGTAACATCTATGGAGGGATAGGAAAGAAAACGCTGAGCAGTGCTGGGCTGGGCTGGGGGAGCTGTGGTTGGCCCACACCTTGGTAGGTGATGGGGTAACATAGGTAACATAGTGGGTAAAGGCTGGTCTTAGGTCCCAGGTTCTCCTCCACTCAGCATCTTCTAGCCATGCCCTCTGCTGCTGTGCTGGGCATTGCACTGCCTCTCTCCGCTCTGAGAGTGCCTTCAGGAGGTGTGTTAGAGCCACCACATGCTCATGGCCTTGTCCTTTGTGTTCCTTTTACTATCTTTGATGGAGTGTCTCATATAGCCCAGGCTAGCCTCAAACTTGCTACGTGGTCAAGGTTGGCCTTGAACTTCTGATCCTCTAGCTCTAGCTCCAGGTCTTGGGATTACAGGCAGACATCACCAGGATTGGTTTATGCAGGGCTGGGAACTGAAGGCAGGACCTTGTGCATGCTGGACAAGCACTCTGCCCACTGGTCGACATCATCTACCCCAGTTATTATTCTTCTCTCTGTAGTTCTGGAAGTTAAACCTAAGGTCATAGGCAAATTCTCTACCAACGGAATTCCATTCCCTGCCTACTGTGCTCCTTTTGGAAACCTCAGCCCAGGAAGTACAGACTAGAGCAGGCAAAGTTGAAAGGGGAGGGGGGAGTCTCTGGTACTTAAACCCAAGTACAGTAACCCTTGGGATTTGGCAGCAGGAGGGCTGGAGCCGAGGTGGGTGGGCCTGCCAGAGGGTGGCAAGACTGGGATGACTCCTCCAGTCTCCTTGGCAGGCCTGTGCAGAAGGAACCCTATAAATAGCAGATGGCCTTAGGCCTCTTACCACCCCCACTCACATTGGCAACTCCAGCAACTGCTCATGAGAGCTACCCTCATTCCCTCAGTCAGAGGGCTTATCACCTCACCCCTGCCCTGGCTTGCTTCTCCTCAGGGACCATACTTCCACTTCCTTTGCTGTGACCTATTGGCTTAGGCTGACTACATGCTTAGCACTTCCCTATCTTAATTCCTGGGCCCAGTGGTGCAGTCTCTACAGCGGTAGACAATAAGCCATGTGTTCATGGCCTAGACACTGCACAGCCGAGGTTCTGACCCCAAAGCCTTTGCTCCGTTCACTGCACTACAGACTGCCACACTCCCGATGTCCATGCTGGTTTGTCTGCTAACGAAGAAGCTGAGGGATTCAGTCATTGTCTCGTTGCACCCCTAAACAAGGGAGACTCCAGGGTCCGGCAAATGAGCTGAGTCTCGGTTTCCCTTGTACCCTGGCATGGTCACAAAGTCCAGTGTGAGTCAGGGTAGTCACTGGATGCAGTTTCCTCAGCCTTTTGCAGACAGCTTGGTTTCAGTTTCTAAAAAGTTGTGAGTTCAAATCAAAACGAAACCAAATCCAGATGCCGGAGGGAAAGAGAAATGTGCTGAACAACATAGCTTCCCGTCCTGGGGCCCAGAGCAGAGTGCTCCATTTACAACATAGACAGATTTTTGCACTATTTGAGGTAGGGTCTTGATAAATGCTGAGATTATGTGTCCAGTCTATGCTACTCTGGTCTATGAACTCAATCTTTATGTTCATACTAGGAAGACTGACACGTTTGTCTTCCATCCTCTGACTTTGCCTGCTCTATACTCCCAGGGCTGGAGTGTCTAAAGGGAACACAGTAGGCTAGGGATGGAATTGTTGGTAGAGCATAGGTATGACCTTAGTTTAGGTTCAGCCTCCCGTACTACAGAAATTGGGGCGAGAGATGTTGATCCCCTGTGTGCTGTGGTCATAAACCTGCTATTTGGGTTGGGATACGAGAGGTGGGACACAATCTGGCCTGTAGGCCAGCTTTCTCTAGTAGTGGGGAGAGGGGGAGGGGTGGAGAGGAGAAACCAAACCTTTGGTTTCTCTTTCCAATGCTGGGAAACGCTATCGCTGGGAAACGCTGTCCCTGGTCAGTGTGTGTGATTTTGAAAGGGCTTTTGAAAGTGCCCAACTCTTGACAGGAGGTGGGGGTGGGGTGGGGGTAAATGGTCCCCATATGGGAGGGATTGGATGGTTGTGGGGTAAGATGAAGCAGACAGAAAATTGACTGACCAAAGGCCCTATTAAACACGGGCAATCTTAGGGTTCCCGAACAGCATCTCAGGTCCACTAGGGCCACTAGCCAGCCATGTAGGGACAGAACAGAGCCTGGACAAACCCCAACGGTCTCCAGCAAGGGAATGGGGGTGGGCAGAGACTCACCCCAGGGACTCAATGTGAAACTCTTGAACTTTCAGCCAATGATGTGGCTGATTCCTACCTCCCCCCCAGTCTTGCGTCTTGACAGGGTGGCATGTACCCACACATAACCATGATTGATATTGCTTGAGACACAATAAGTGTTACTTTATTAGTTTTCAAAAACAACAAAAAGCAAAACTGCTCACTCAATTGCTTTAATTCATGTTGCATAGAAATTGCTGCAAGGACATGTTCCTGTTGCCAGCATCTTCCCCAACATCCCCTAGTGATGGCTGTCTCCATTTGGGATCAAATGGACACAGGAACAACATGAGTGTCTCACTTGTATCTTCGCCCTAAAAAATAGAAATGGAAAAGGGGCCGCCTTTAATACTAGCTTCCCATGCTCTCCGTGGCCCTCTTCACAGAGTCTCCCACTATTCCACTGGGCAGGTACCTGAGCTACGCTTCTTAGTTCGGTATGTCCGCTTCCGCCTCCTGACAGCCTTTCTCTTGTTCACCTTCCCTTCCAAGGTCTTCCTGTTCTTGGAACAGCAGCCGCGATTTTTAGGTGAGTGTCGGGAGTGCATGGTTTGTTTGGGACTGGGGCTGGGGCTTGAACTGGAGCTCGGGTGGCCTGCCTGGCTGCAGCTCCGGCAGTGGTGGCTGTAGCTGCACTGGTTACAGGTGTGGCCTTGGGACCGAGGGGGGTGGGTGGAGGAAAGGCTCTGCATCTTGGTGTCCATTGGAGGCCACAACTGGAGGGGCAGAGATCTCCTCCTCCTCCTGCAGGCCCAGCTTTGGGGAGTCCCACAGCACCTAGTTATATAGCTTGGCCTATTATGATGGCACAGGCCACAGAGGGTGACAGGTATGGCAAAGCCCTGCCCATCGCCCTCTCCCCAGGGCGGGGCAGCTTTCAGAGCCCTGTGGGTCAGATTGTGTTGAGGTCGCATCTCAGGTTCGCACCTAGCTTCTTGTTTCGTCCCTGTGTTCACCTCTCCAGAGTCCAGTTTCCCAGCTTTGTGGGATGAGGTATAATAAACCATAAACCATTGCATCCAACTCACAGTGACATTGACATTGGAAATATTAACAGTTTGTATCATGAGGTTAGGTGAGGACCAGTTTGCGGTCAGTGCTTCAAGGCCTTGAGAGCGGCAGAACTCTCTTCCTTTTCCACCTGGTCAGCTAGTATAGCAGTGGGTGGGCAGTGAGGCAGTGTGCCCTAATTTGTTAGCAGCTTGGACCAAAGACTTGCAGAATGACTAGGGGTTGGAATGGACCCCACCTTCTCAGCCTTCCCAGGTGAGAAGTTGAGCGTCAGGTTCAAAGCCTAGTTTGCATTGAAGTCTGATCTTGGGTATGCCGTGAGGTTCCCTCAGTCTGATATGAGCCCTTACTTCTATTGAGCTAGGATGCCAACCCTTGGGTGCTGGTAGCCTCCCAATGGAACTCAGTGTTCAGACTCTGCTCCAGCCCCTAGCCCGGAAAAGAAAAGGTCA